AGATTACGAGCCTTCATCTGCAGACCCCTGCCCACGACCACCAGGGAGCACTGCGCAAGCGAGATGGGAGGAATTTGGGGTGGGGGGATATGTTAATGATTTCTCGGAACTAATTGTAATGTTCCCTCCCTATCCTTGGAGTAGTGATGCATATGTATTAGAGTAGATGAAATGTAACCTTTTATACAATAAAAGGGAGCCCCTTTGGCTCCAGAGGGCGTGACATCACGCCCAGCACTGTATTCTTTGCTCCACTGACTTTGTCCCCTATAAAACCTTTTTTATATATACGTGGGCTTGTTTCTCACAATAGTCAAAAAGAAGCAGCTTACAAGGTGAGTTAGTCAGCCCCTCCGAGTTAAGTGATTTAAGAGCACTGGTGCATTTGAGCACTTGACTGTTTCCTAATTGGAATATTCATAATTAACATTTTTTTCCAAAATCTACTGAAAAGCTTGAATGTCTACATAGAAATTCAAAAGAACAACAAAAAGCAAAATAATTATGAGTCAACTATAATTCTACTATTGTTGATTTTTTTTAAATGTGGTAAATTGCTGCTAGCTAATATTGGTTTTGAAATATACCCCTGCTGTTTTGAGTTTAGGTAGAGATGAGATTTAATTCATGTTAATTGATTGCTGGTTCTAAATGGTGGTTATAAATTCTTATGTACATATTTACAGAAGCTGTTGTTGATATTCTGTCTAGTTTGAGCATTACTGGAAAGAAAGGCTTGAGGGTCTAAATAAAAAAATCAAAAGGACAAGAAAATACAAAATAATTTTCAATCAGTAAACTGGAGGTGAAGTTTAAACATATCTGTATTAAATTTGCTTTACTCAAACAACTGATTTTTCTGCTCATTATGTGGTAAAGATACCCAATTGCTGTCAAAATAAAAAAAAAAAAAACCAACAAAAAAACCAAACATCCAAAAGCACATATTTCTAAGGATAAAGTGATGCTATAAGCAGAGATTTGACTTGCTGAATGATTTAGATTTCAGGATAAAATATTTTGGGTCTGTACATGTGTTAACAGACTTTAATTAGTTTCTTGGGGTCAGCTAGAGAAATTGGACTCCATCCCCCATGGGCATCTAATATTGATGTCCAGTAAGAACCCAGAAAAGGCATAGGAATGAGCTGATGTCCTCGTTCATTCACACCAGATCCTACAGAGCTTGAAGCCTCAGGATATCGCTGTAGAGGGAGAAGTGGACAACTCTGTGGAGCTCAAATCCGGTTAATGGCTAAGGTGCTCCTCAGGCTATAAAAGAATGTCTCCACCATGTCTGTACATGTGAAACAAGTCCTGCTTTATTCCAGAACTGAGAAATTGACAGATTCTGCACAAGTAGAGCAGCATTTTTCTTTCTAAATATTATCTCTCTTACTTCGATAGGAAGTGCATTGTGAAATGGAGGCTATTTTTTTTTCTTTTTTTTTTTTTGTTTGTTTGTTTGTTTGTTTTTAACTCCATCAGCTTCACTGTGTTAGTCACCAGTTCCCTATTACTTTTTCATTTTATTCAAATTTTTTCTTCTGGGACAAAAAAAGCCAAAGAGAGTAAGAGTAAACAGAATCACAACTTCTGGTGGAAATGAATCTGGGCACATAAACTGTACTGTTATATCAGAACCATTTATTGCTGGTTTTATGTTTTACAAATGGGTAGGTGACAAAAAAATTCCAGTGTGTACTACGCATTTGCCCAGAGGGCAAGAGATAAACTCTGTAGTCATTTAAATTCAAGTACAGTTTAAAACAGACTTTCCTGTTACTCTTGAGAAAATTTCTTCAGTCAGATGGACAGTTTGAATGGATGCAAATTTTCTCACCAGGGTCTGCCATTTTATGACACACATGTGCTGCATAATTACATCTATATCCTCACAGCACCAGTGGAATGTCACCTTTAATGTGTCCTCTCAAAATAATAAACACCCGGTTTTGTTTCTCTAGAATTACATTACACAGAGTACCTTTATTTTGTACAATGTGGAATAGGAACAATCTTCGTTGCACAAAAGACCTAAAGCAAAAAAGCCATCATTTATGACTGGTTCTGTAGGAAAAAAAAAAAAAAGAAAAACAACATTAAATGTTTAGAATTTTGTGTATGTCTTAGAATAACATTAAAACACATTTTTGTTATTTTGTTTTCTTCTTTACTGAAAATTTCACATTGGAAATTGTGAGTGAATTTTGTTACGGTAAGGAGGTTTTAATATATTATTTGGATTATCTCCATAACATTTATCCATAGATAATTATGCAATAACCATGTCAGCAGTCCATGGTTGTCTTTTTCCTCACATGTGTAATGTTGGTTTCTAAGGTCCAGTATGATTATAGGTGCACTTTGAGGGGGCTATTGTGGTAGAAAACAGAGGAAAATAAAAATAAGGTTTTGTTGGAATAGGCCAATTGCAAAGAAATCAGTTTTTGTTCTTGACGTTTTAATATAGCTCTTATTAAGCAATAGGAAAAAAACAGATATTATCACTTAGTATTACCTAATACTGTGATATAGGCCAATGCACTGTCACATATACAAGCTATCCAGTGCTCCTATATTGAGCATCCTTACGGATATGTCTTTCCTTTCTCTCTTGACTGTAGCCGTTTAACAGCTTTTTTATTTCTTTACTTCCTGAGGAGATTTTTTTGGTTTATGTTACATCAATCCATTCTGTAGCTGTTATAGTTTATTAAAAGGTTACATATTGGATTCCAGGAAAGAGTTCCGTTGTATATTTAACAATATGTGTGCAGATCCTAATATTTACAAAAATCCATACTAAACTTGTGGAGTGGTGCTTGAATTTTGGGTTTAGTGCCCAGAACATGACTGTCTTTTCCTTGGTCCTTTAGATTCACTGTTTCATTTTGAGAAGTTCTTGGTTTGCATAGGTAAAGTAAGGTGATAATGTGAGTTCTTTCTCCTGTAAACTGTCTTTCTTGCTATGAGTTTTGCACCGTCTTATTACAGATGTAATTTATCTGCCTTTATTCTGAAATTTCCAGAAGTAGTCATATGCTGTACCCTGGAGGAGGTGTTGGGTTCTGACAGTTACCAGAGTTCAACTGTATCTTTCACCTTCTAGGCTAATATTTTAAATCCTGATTATTTGGGGGAATTAATGTCTGTCTTTTAAATTAATAATTTTTCTTTATTCTTTTAAGTGTATAGTTTTTCTTTACTCTTTTAGCATCAAAATGATAAAATAGAAACTGAAATGCGACATGATATTTGGCTTTGAATAGTAGATAAATGAGTAGTTCTTTTTGTCTGTGAGAGAAAAACTACTGTAAATTCTTTTTATAGATGTTTGAAAGCTCTCTTTCTGGATCATGGTTATCTTCATGTTTGCTGTTTTGAGGTGAAGGAAAGCACTGAACTAAATTATTGCAGATGAATTTTTATTAATTTTATATTACACAACTCTTAGCTACAGTATGAGCAGTAGAAGCTAAAGTGCTCTTTCATTCTGTGGTGATTTTGCTTTCATTATTTACTGTTTACCACTGGACAAATAAGTGCATTACTGGTTTGGCCACATAAAGAGTTGCAGCCTTCAGTAATGATTTTCGCTTTTTTTGCCATTAACGTATGGGTTACAATCCTCAAAAATAGGCTTATGTTGAAATCAGTAGTATTAGGACCAAATTATTGAAAGCTGGAAGTAGAAATTAAAGCCTCAAAGGTGTAAGAAAGATTGATTCAGTGACACAGCTGGAGTCGTCTAGTTTCATTTCAGATGTACATGGGTGCCTCCTCCAGCTCTCCCTCCAGAATGTCACAGATCTCTCATAAGGACCCCAAGAAATGGCACAAGCACCAAAGTTAGCTAATAACATTTCAGCTACTTGACTACTTCATGTGTATCCTATGAGGACGTAAGGGATGAAGATCAGTTTTCAAATATGTGCTTGCTTCCTGTGGTGTGTGTTGTAGTTACCTGTAGGTTACAACTACAGTTGTTCATCTAGATAGTGAGTGAAATGCAGTTTTCAGGAAGGGCTTTTAATTGTTGCATGACAAATTTTTGCTACCTAGTGAAAGCACCATCAATTGCATAAATAATTGACTAGAAAAAGGAGTCTGGAAGACTAGAAAAGATCTACCATTGTAGCAACTACAAACAGAAATATGGGAGGCAGAGGAAATCCTGGAATAAAGTGCATGAGTTAATAAATGCTTTTAACTTTGGAAACCAAACTACTTTTCCCTTTACTTGCAGCAAATACTATTTCAGGATTGCTTCAGAAAATCTCAGATCTTATGAAAAATACTCATAGATGGAGATAATGCAGTCTAATACAAGAGAGCGGGTACTTCTCAGTACCTTATTTATGTTAAAAAATTGCCAGGAAAGAGTGTACAAAATTTACAATTGCAGGTGTATAATATCATCTATACAGAGATGCATCTTTAATATAGACTGTGTGAAAGGTCAGAGCTAAAGGATACCCTGCAGAAGATTTGGATTTGGAAGCTGTCGTGTAGAAGCTAAAGTTAAATAATTCAGTCTCCTCCTGCACTGGAAGGCAAAGCATAATATTGAAGGATTACAGTTCACTTGCAGTGGTATTGCCAAGTAAACCCTAGAGGGAAAGAAATGGAATTTCATTCTACAGCATTTCAAGTTATATTTCTTTTGTGTTTAGGTGATGAGCTAGCAAACTAGCCATTCCTGTTGTTGCTGTTGTTGTTGTTTATTTTTATTACTATTATTATTATTGTTGTTGTTGTTAATAATAGTAGTAATAATAATAATAATAATAATAATAATAATAATAATAATAATAATAATAATAATAATAATAATGATAACAACATTGGCAAGAAAAAATAGTCCAAAAAAATGGTCAAAAAAGATTAGGTGCATCAGTTCTGGGAAGGACGAAACTGATAGTGGAGAGTGCTTTTGTTTTTCTGTGCCTTCACTAGGGCAAGGTTTTCTCACTGTTTTCACTCTGGCTGTTGCGCAGGTGGTTGACCAGATTGACACACTGACGTCCGACCTGCAGCTGGAGGATGAGATGACAGACAGCTCCAAAACAGACACGCTGAACAGCAGCTCCAGCAGCACAACAGCTTCCAGCTTGGAGAAAGTCAAGGTGCGGGGCAGCGCACCGCTCATCAAGCCACCCGCACACCCCTCCGCTATCCTCACTGTGCTGCGGAAGCCAAATCCGCCCCCGCCTCCTCCGCGACTGACGCCTGTCAAGTGCGATGAGCCTCCAAAGCTGACTCCTGCCAACCCTGTCAAGACTAACGGTACCTTGCTGAGAAATGGGAGCTTTCCGGTCGGGCCCAACCGCGTCCCAAATGGAGATATATGTTGTATACCGAACAGTAATTTGGAGAAAGTTGCGATGCAGCCTCTGATGCACAGACCTGAGAAAGAGCGGTGTCCTCAGCCGGGAGCAAGGGAACGGGTACGATTTAGTGAAAAAGTGCAGTACCACGGCTATTGCCCTGACTGTGATGTTAGGTATAACATTAAAAACAGGGAGGTGCACTTGCATAGTGAGCCTGCTCGTGTTGTGGGAAAGCTGCCACACCAGTGCCCTCCTCTGCCACCTCCACCACCTCCGCTGCCTCCATTTCCTCTGGAAAATGGAGGGTTGGGGATAAGTCCCAGTAATAGCTTTCCTCCTCCAAGACCTGCAACTGTGCCTCCACAAACTGCACCAAAACCCCAGAAGACGATCTTGAGGAAATCAACCACTACAACAGTGTGATGTATGCCACTTGAAACAACTCTTTCTTTTTTCCTATATATAAGCATAAATAGGTAATGAGCACTTTCAACTTGAGCAATAAAAAGATCCAATGTATTACACCCTGTGTCCAGTGAAGTGGCATAAAAATCACATGGTAAGTAGAAAGAGGAATGCTTGCTCATCTTACTTGTACTCATCAAAAAATGTCATTATGGCAAAGGATGCTGAAAAAATATTCATATTTTAACTCATAGGTTGTAAACATCCATTGCAGTTTGATATCTGTAGCATGATTTAAAAGACAGTGAAAAGAAAGTTCAGTCTGAAAATACTGAGTGGTGATTTGTGATGGATTTTGGTCTATCTGACATAAGGGAATAACCGTTGCTCCTTGTGTTTGGGAAACGTCCTGTTTCTAGCAAGTACCTTTTAAAATGTCATTTGAAGAAGCCAAGTGGAGTACCAGATAACAGCTTTTGACTGAATTCTAGCAAGTGCATTTTTCTCTGCCTGACTGCTTAAGCAGAGGCATTGTGTGTGGAGCAGTGCAATAGGAGGTAATCGCTGGGCTTTCAGGCAACCTGATCTTTGGGGCAGAAGTAAAAGAATAATTGAAAGGTGCGTTGACATGATTTTGGAAAACTATTATCTCAGGTTTTGTTTCTCAGTTGCTCAATATGCCACAGCCAAGGTGAAGTACAGAGTTTTCAGATAAACAAGGATAGTTCCATTCAGTTCCCCCCTACTTCCACTGCTTCATCTGCAAAATGGTAGCAATATTTTATCTGATGTGCAATTCCAGTAGATTAAAACAACAAAGTGCAGTCCTGTGTTTTTCAAAAGGCTTTGTCTGGTGCAGATCTCTTTTTGAAGGCAAAGAAAATTTTACTCAAGACCTTCAGGGACATCCACTTAATTCATGTAAAGAGCTTTGAAGTTGAAAAGCTCTGTGCAATTACAAAGCATTAACATGCAAAATAAGGTATTTTACATGATATCACATTTTTATGGTGAACCCAATTAATGTTCTTACTAGTTGAAAAAAAGTCCTCGGTGTTTTTATTTACTTTATGAAAGAACATTCTTTTATTATCACAAAGAGTATTGTTGGGACCTAGAGTTAAAAAACATCCTATCAGTGAAGAAAATCTGATAATAAATCTGTTATTTACAAAAGTTTTGCCAAATTGATCTCAAATGGCCCAACAGCAGATGCTGTAGAAAAGCAGTATGCTTTTTTCAGCTGAAATGTAAAACATACTCTATGACAAAACAGACAAAACTAGACAAAACAGATTCTTAATTTAAATTTCCATTTACATGCAGTAGTAGGTATTAAACTGAAAAGCAATCTTCAAGAAGTTTCCCTCTGTACACATTATGGTACATTTATAGTATTTAAACCAAAACAGTAAGAATAATCATAACAAAAATTCTAACAGATAACTACCCTTTCAGAATGTTTTTAGTAAACTAGGATTGTATTCTGTGCAAATGCACAGGGTCTAACACTTCATGTTGTATTCACTGCATAAAAGTGGCAAAGCAGGGAAATTGTCTTAAATGCTTAATCATGCTTTCTCCAGATGCTCTCCGTGTGCTTTTCATGGTACACTTTATATTTTGTATTGTTTGACTATACTTAATCTCACGAGAGCTGTTGCCGTGTCCTAGCACTCGTAGCAGGAAGCAGTAACTCGTTCTGCATGCATGCAGGATCTTTGCCAACCAAATGAAGTTTCCATCAGGTGGAGTCTGCTCATGTCCATATTGCATATCTACAAGTTTTTCTTTTAAAAGGAAAAAGTTTTCCATCTGTTTGACTTCATCACTACTGTGGATATCATATACCAGCTAGTTTAATATTTTTTCCATCTTAAAACAGCTACTGTGTACAAGAAATTATAGGATAATGGAAATCAAATGTTGCATATTTCATATAAAACACTTATGCTTCATTTTATGAATGAATTTTATGAAATTATTATGAATCATTTTTTCCAGTATAAACTCTTCTCTGATAGCAATGTAGAGTATTTGTCTTCCAGATTCTGCCACTGGGCTTGTCAGAGTCTCATGAACATGTTAGTACCTCCAAATTATATGCTTTACTATATGGGTGTGCATTGATATATATGTAAATTTGTTTTGTTGCAGTGTTACATTTACAGTTCTCAGCTCTGGAAAGTTTTAAGTGGCATCTGACTTACAGCATTTCATGTTCAGTTTCAGTATCCAACATCTTCCATCTCTCTTTCAGAGGCTTTTTCTTGTCTCCCTATACCTCCTGAGTACCCTTTCACAACTACTGCTCTTTGTGCATTTTCATGGGGGGAAGAGTGCTGTGCTAGAAAAACAAAGGAAGCAGCTTTTCAAATGCAATGCTGCTTTTGTCCAGAAATATAGTTTTCAAATCTGAAGGAAATACATTGGTTTTCTTCAAAGTGTGCTGACTCTCCTTGCTTAACCCCAGCCAACACCCAAGCACCACACAGCTGCTTGCTCACTCCTCCCCAGAATCAGAAAAATAAAGTGAAACTTGTGAGTTGAGGTAAGAACAGTTTAATAATGAAAATAAAATAATATATAATAATAAAGATATGAACAATAAAATACAATAGTAATCATAATTGCAATGAAAAGGAATATATAAAAAAAAGGGAAATAAAACCCAAGAAAAGACAAGTGATGCACAGTGAAGTTGCTCGCCACCCACTGACTGTTGCTTGAGCAGTGACCCCAACCAACTGCCCCCAGTTAGATACTGAGCATCACATCCTCTGGTATGGAATACCCCTTTGTCTAGTTCAGGTCAACTCTCTGGGCCATGCTCCCTCCCAGATTCCTGTCCACCTACCTGCTGGTAGAGCACGGGAATCTGAAAAATCTGTGATTTAGGAGAAGTGCTACTTAGTGAGGACTAAAACATCAGTGTGTTATCAACATTATTCTCACACTAAATCCAAAACACAGAACCATACCAGCTACTAGGAAGCAAATTAACTCTATCCGAGCTGAAACTAGGACACTAACTCAGGCTTTCTTTAATACACCAAAGTGTTCCAAGGACTTCAATCAGTTCTTCTGTTTTAATGAGAATGTCTCTGGCCTGTGTCCTATTGCAAGGACAAGATTTATCAGTGTAACAATTTCACATTATTAACATGATAGGGTAAAATTCAGGTTAAAAAAGGTGAACTTGCAAAGCATGGGAAACAAGTAACTTTAAGCTTTGCAGCACTGTCTGGAAACTTCTAGTAAAAATGGCGTGGGAAATAATGCAATGCTATATTCAGCTAGCCATGTTTTTTAAATTTATATTACAAATGTAATCTCTGAGAAACATTCTTGAACACCTGTAACATAGCATGTTTCATACCTTACTGAGGAAAACACAATCAACTAACCAGAGCCAGACAGGAATTTTCTGCCTTTGAAACATAAATGTAATATCTTTGAGATCATATTTAGTGTTTTACAAAGATACTAATATCTGAGAAACTGAAAGGCCACCAACAGTACTCAGAGCTGTAATTCAACATTTGCCATTACTTCAGACTGCTGCTCAGTTTTGATTCTTCAAAGGTATTTTAAACTGTGAATTGTCCAGATCTAGACTTCTCAAATGCAAATAAAAGTTGGTTTCTGTCAATTTAGTGAAGAGGATGAACTTAGGAAAATGGAAATAATCAGTGAAAATTGCTTAATATGTAATAATGGCATTGGTTAATAAAAGCTATCCTATGGATGCTATATAAGAGAGGAACCCTAGGAGAGCAAAGTCCAATAACAAACCTTTTTAAGGATATGAGTTAAGAATCTTCAAAAAGATCATGGTTCTTTTTATCACCTAGTAAAAATAACTGTTCTTCCTTCTCTCTTGTTTTCTGGAGTTGTTACAGCTTTCATCACATTGTCCATTGTTCATAGAAACAAGAAAATATTCCAAATCTTCATCCTCCTTTTTTATTATTAAATCAATATTTTATTTAGAACATTCCATGAAGTAAGTGGACTATGGCTCTTAACTTCCTTCTGATAACTTGATTATTGGTTTTGAAGCAAACAGAGTGCAGCATGAATTCTTTAATTACCAGAGGGAGTTGTGTATGCCCTCTGGACCTGCTCAGATCTTTTTCTTTCTGTGTTCTAATTATGTCTTTCCTTTCAGCAATACCATGAACAGTAATTTTACATATGGAGATAAAATCATGCTATGATTACTATATTACTTGTCTGATTAACTCTTAAAGTAGTCATGAGTATTGGGTGCATATTTTTACAAAAGCAGCATTTCTCATTCCCTGTTTGTATGTATGCTGTGATCCATGCTTTTTCAGGGGCAGGGGGGTGTGTAGAGGCAAAATACCTATCCACTGTTCAAACTAGTAATAATAATGAAAGCATCCGTTTTCAAGCTGCAGGAAGGTCTTGTAAGTGGGATATGTGCAAAAGCATGTGGTAGAAGAAATGTCTATGGTATGTACAATGTTTAGAAAACTTAATCTGAAAAATACTTGTCACCTATTGAATACCACTTTGTATTTCATGGAGCAGTGTGTGATATGTAGCATGCAGTAGTTACATGCTGCAGCCTAGCGTTTCTGAACCTGTTAGCACAGACTGTGCAGTTAATAACTCAAGCAGCAGCAGCAGCGCTGGTGTTACTGGCTCAGCATGCTGCAGCGCAGTGCCTACAAACTGCAGTTCAGTCTCATCTTTGTTTGGTAGCAGTTACATGGTGATGGTTTTTAAATGGGAAAAACTAGTGAGGATTTCATCTGACTAGCCTGTTTCAAGGTGGAGAAGAGCCTAAGAGAGCAAGTTTCTCCCCCAGTCACAATTTGACAACATATCTGTAGTAGTTCACCTTGGGAAGCCTCTGGGGAGCACGTGCAAGTCAACATTCATTCCTGATCTTAAATGTTTTGACATCTGGCTACCTCATGTTGGTCAGAGAGCTCTCTGGTTAGCTGAGGCTGGAGCTGCTGCGATAAATGGACTTGACCAGTATCCTGTTTCAGGAGAGTGGCCTGTGCTCTTGTCAACTTATGCAAGCCTGCTACTCTTCTCTGTTCTTTCACATTTGTTCATGTATGGCAGTCCCTGTGTCACTAAGTGGTTGAAGGGTTTTCTTAAGAAATTGCATCATTT